TCTACTATATAAAATGATTTGAAATCCCTGAAACAAGTAAAAAAGAATAATTAAAAAAGAATAGTTGAAAATAACAATTATATTAAGCAACAATAAACCTGAAATGAAATGATAGTGAAATAACCTACAAGTAAAAATATAATAATTGAATAAATAAAAATTAAAGGAATGCAAAAAAGAAAATAATAAAAATAAAAAAGTGTAGAGATTCCAAGTCACGTTAGTTCACGACGTTTCGATTGTTGGTATCTACAATCGTCTTCGGGTGATGACCCAGTCATTCTAATTTTGTTAGTTCCTTCATAAATTTCGAATCATAGTAGAATCGTATAAGACGATAGAAGTCCAAACTGATGAAATGTAGAATGTTTTGGTGATGCACTGTTTGGAACCTTTGGTGTAGTAATGAATATTACTACACGAGGATGATTACTTGGTGATCGAAACACGTGTCGAAGTGTTGAAAATAATGTTTTCAACACCTTTTGGAAAAAACTCTAGTAATATTCAATATGTAGAATGGTTTTTCATATTTTCTTTCATCATTACGTACAATTGATCGACCGATTTTTTTGTGTTTTCTAGCATATCCAGATATAATTAATGAAAAGAAGGTGCAGATAGTCTATGTATACTTCAATATTGGTATACTAAATAAATAGTTCATTGGCGAGTCCTTTCAAACTCGTATTATAAAATCTTATTTTTCACTTCACATGTGGTTTTGAGTTATTTACTGACTTTTGTCTTAGCATTTGGTGATTATAAAACACTCATGAACTTTTCCAATAGGAGTAATGAAGAAAAACCAAAAAGAGAACCAACCGGAGAGACTTTTGAATCCCGCAACCGTGATAGAGGCCGTGACGGCCGAGCAATAGGAAACAAACCAACAGGCCTTAGGGGCCCAAGGAAGAATTTTGAGGAAAGGAGGGGTAAACGAGAGTTTGACANATTGGGGATCTCATAAGGATGATATAGAAGAAGCTGATATACCTAATAACGACATCAATCAAAGTTGGGGAGATGATTCAAAGGTGGAAGCTGTCGATGAAAAAAAAGAAGTTGATGTTGAACCTACTCCAATCGAAGAAGAACCCAAAGAATTGACATTGGACGAATGGAAGGCTCAGCGTGCTGGTCGTGTCAAGCCCCAATATAATATTCGAAAAGCAGTCGAAGGCGAGGATCCAAGCCTCTGAAAGAAAGAGAAAGAAGAAGAATCT